ATATATATACACACTGCCGACTAAAAGTTTGAAATCACATATAAAATTAAGTTTATTTCAGTAAAACGCTATTAAAAAAAAAATACTATCGATTCATTTACACAATTTTTTTCAATTTTTTTTCAATTTGAAAGTAAATATGCTTTTTATTTAGTACGATCGAGATTAACGTAGCATTTATTCAATCTCGAGAAAATGGATCACGACCATGAAGTCTTTTTTCAAAAAAAAAACTGACCTATTTTAGAAAATGGATAAAAGACTCCTGCCAAAAAATAAAAAATTTATAGCTAACTTATTTAAATTAAAAAAAAAATGATTTAATATAAGAACAAAGATGAAAAAAGTATCTATTCTTTAATGTTGTTCATTTTGTAAAAAATATTTTCTGTAAAACTTTGAAACATTTCATAATTTTTTATTTCATTAAAAATAATGCGTAAAATAACAAAAATGTTAAATATAATAAATTCAATTTAATTTGACATAATATATTTTTAATTAATGCTCTTAAATTTTTGGTCAACAATACATTATACATTGTATATTATATCATTATATACCTTGTCGACGGTACCTATTTTCTCACATAATGCGAGAGAGATATCGATTAACAATTCCCCATATTCCTTATGACGCTCTTCTATCAAAAACAGAATTTGGAAAATAGTTAAAGAAGCTTGAGGATTCATATCTTCCAATTGTGTGAATTTCATCATCGATTCGAATACCTTATGTAACAGATTTTTTAATAGTCTTTCGTTATGTCTTCTATTTTTATTCAATAAAAATAGTTATAAAAAGATACTAACTTCATCGCCATTTGTTTGACAAAAATTTATCTGTTGCGTCAGTTGGTATATAATATCCAATAATATGCCAAGTATCTGTTTAGAGTTCTCCTCATGTTTCTCTTCCTCGGTAAAGAATGTCCTGAAACTCGTACGTACAGCAGCAATTATGTTTTCCAATTGTGAGTTAAGATTTTCTGCTTGCATTGACTTAGCTGCAAGAAGAATATTACATTATTTTATAAAAGGAACACTATTTTATCCTAATATTTTAAACACTTACGAATAATAACATTAAGAAACTGCGACAATTCGGAAGAGGAATAGGTGCAAATTAAACAACATAATTCTTTAAAACATTCTAATGCTAATATAGTCCCTTGTTCATCTGTATCGAGAAATTTGTTTAAATCCAATATAACGTGATTGTATAATAATCTGCCAGAAAAAATTTAGTCTACAGTACGAATCATAAAAAATGCCTTAAAAAATGCACGATGAAATAAGATCTCGCAACAGCGAGATGTTAGGTATCTACATAAAAGACTTACTTTCCAATTTCAAAGTAAGTCTTCATATACTGTTCTTTATGTTTCCGCAAATTGTACTCCATTAATAGTTTAATATTTTGCAAAATTTGCAACAATGTTCGCAGAATGTAATGATAAAAATCATGGTTATCTATTAACATGGTAACTTGATCCTCAGATGCCCAGGGAACAGATTTCAAATAGAAGAGCGACAAACTTTTGTGTACAATAAACAAATCTATGATACTGGGTGGTAATTTTATGCTACTTGATCGGCTAGCTTTCTTTACAGTAGTATTATTTGGGTCATTTTGTGTCCTTTTATTTTTTCCTTCTCCCTTTTTAACCTTTGGTATGTGCTAGGGAATTGAAAATAATAAAATCATATAGTTATAAATAAATTTATATTATAAATATATGCAACATACATTACCTTAGTAAATTCAACTAATTTCGTATATCCTTTGAACAGATTTTTAATATTTTGTGCGGTATCTGTACAGTTTACAGACCAGGCGCTGATTCTAAAAGATATGAGAGCCTCATAAATTTTAATTGTTAACAGAACAATCTGCAATTTTTCTTGAGCTTTGGTGCTAGTATTGCTTAAATCAAGCTTGTCATCCTATTGAAATTTAAAAAATCCAATTTAAAAAATCCATTTATATAATTACAAATAATCTTGAATTTTATTAAGTCTAATTTTCTAAACTCACAAGACTTAGGTGTTCTGTTTCGAGCCGTGGCATCCGCCTGCATAGAGATTCCAAGATAACAGCTAATTCATCAACAAAAGATGATTTTATTAGAGCCGATTTGATGTAAATCTTTTGCAGTACAAGTATCAATTCTGCCAGAGGTTCCTGCAGTATAACTTGGTCTCCTTGTACAGCTGTACATAATTCCAGTTTAACTGGTACCATGACGTTCTCATCCGTCTCAAAAAAAGTTTTAAAGTGTGGTAATAACATCTCTAATACGTATTCTGCGATCTCGATATTTTTCAATACGGCTTCATATAAACCTAAAAGATAAATTGAATTCAAAATTAGTTATATTAATATTTTTAGCAATACAATATAATTTTTTTTCTAATCTCATACCATTGTATAAGTGTAATCGAACTTCGCACTCGTGAGTAAAACATCTTCTTAAAATACCCAAAATATCGTAACATAAAGTTCTATTATATCTTGAGGTAAGTCCTCTTGCTTGAGTACCTCTCTCTAACGTCACCTATGAAACAATATGAAGAATGATTAATCATTTTACAGTTACAAAAGTTTAACCGTGATGATATGATTAATAAAAAAAACCTGAGTCAAAATGGATGTGGAACTTGTGCCAGTCGACGATGAATTGGCGTACTGACTCGAACTCATCGCGAGGCCGCTCATAGAGTGTATTTTCACATTCCTCAACATTTCCAAAATCCCACTGACTGCCATTTGTCGATTAAAAGTACCCTTTCTGTAGAGAGCCTGTCTCAAAGTCAAGACCAAATGCTCTCTTATACTGACTGAAACTTGTACCAATGGAAATATTGCAGAAACAATAAAAATGGCAATCTCTCCGGGTACAGACGAGATCTGATCAAAAAGCATTATTATAGATTCTTGATGGTTTAACACTAGAACCGTTAATTTATGGCACATATATGCTAAACAATCTGCAAATGAACAATAATATTAGTTATCAATAATTAAATGAGGAATAATAAGATTTACGACAATTAGCTAATTAATAAATATAATAAATAATTAATAACTATTCAGAGTATTTTTACAAAAATCCTACCAGTATATTGAGAAATAGATGATTTACTCGCGACTATCTTATCAATCAACATTTGAAATATAGTTGCAACTGTTTCATGATGCTTTCTCATGATTTTTTGAAGTATCTTTGTACCAATTTGCCATAAAGGATGCACATTCGTTTTTGTTTTATTCTCTACAGCCATAAGAACAAATGCGAGATCTACGAGTCCTTTCAATACTAAGTGACGATCCCTGTTACTGTATAATTAAAATGTTATATATATTAAAAGATTTGATATTAAAGTATTTATAATACATGTAATCTATTGCATATTTACCTCGCCTCGATAACGTTTCCCATCACATTCATTACATTACAAGAATCGGGAATTAATTTTCTCAACCATGCACTATGTTTCTGTTTAATGTCATTTTCGTTTCGTTTACTAATAATCGCTCGCAGCATTTCCAAAATCTATGATATTATAGTTAAGTAATATTACAGAATTATATATTGTTATAATATACAACTATATTACATTATAAACATAAAAATATGTATAATTAATATAGTTTTTTTAATTAGAGAATAACTTTAAAAACATGAAAAAAGTTCAAATGATTTAAAATGCGAGTCCCATAATTCTTTATGAATCATGATCTTTAAATTATACATAAAACATTTTTTCAAACAACACATTTTTTTTCTTTTTGAACTTTAATTTTTTATTACTGAATTACAGATGTGATAAATCCCAAGAAAGTTCGAAAATACAGTGTTATATCATACGTATGTCTCTTAATGTAAAATTTTATGTATTGATTCAATTCGTTTGAAATATATTATATAGTACTATATTTTTAATGTCTCAAACTTTCTTGGGATTTACCATCATCTGTAATTCAGTAATTAAAAGTTAAGATTCAAAAAGAAAAATATAGGCTAAACTAAATATGCAAAAATTAAATTAATATTATTACCTGATTTTCATCAATAGAAGCAACTGTGAGCAGTACAGAAAGCATAAAAGGTTCTAATATAGCTTCAGGAATGTGCGATATACTTTTAAAATACTTAATGTAATCTCTTATATGTTGGTGATTCAATTCAGCTGATTGAGATATATGGTATAATACTGTACTTTCAACGTCTCGAACTTCCTTGGGATTTACTACATCTGTAATTCAGTAATTAAAGATTAAGATTCAAAAAGAAGTTATATCAATTAACAATATATAATTATATGATATTATTACATATTACTATTATATAAAATTATAATTATACAATATACTACATTACACAAATAAATTTAAGATTATAGCTTTAGTTTTCTTACCTATAGATTCAAAAGTGTCAGTACTTTCAGTTTGCAAGAAGCGTAGTGTGAAATACTTCCGTAAGGCTTCTAAGAGATATTTATTATCCTGACGAGTACATAATCTCAGTGACTGATGCACAAAAGGAGGTACTTCATCAAGTGGTATATCTTGTAGTTTTGTACAGAATACTGTAATTACCATAGCATGATCCTCCTTTTCCAAAGATATATCTCTATATAGTATAATAAAGCTATCAGTTCATTAATTCATACATTTTATTAGGAACTGCAAAAACGGTTACCTAAACATTCTCGCCAACGATGGCATTATCTGTGTGTCCCATTCACTGTTGCATAGATTATTAATGATAATAGACTTGTATTTGGAACCAGTAACTTCACCATTCATATAAGTAATATATTTTTCTTCCTCCAACACTTCCAGCAAAACAGGTAATAAGTCTTTCCAACTGAAATATACCATGTATATCTTTTGTTTCTATCATGCTAAAGATATAAGTAATTATATACCTCCTAAATTCATCATCATTGTTGCGAATACTAGCAAGACAGAAGTCAACCAATTTGATCAGATGTAGTTTTGGATATTTGGGAAAGTCCAACACTATTCGATTCACAATCTCGTTCGCATGATTAATTGTAACTTTGGCTTTGCCTAAAGCTTTCAGAGCAGACTCCACTAATTTTATTCTCTTGGCAAACAAATTCTCCGACTCAGAACACACCTGCAGGATCTCATCCAGTATTTTGGAAATGTCTGCATTGCAAATTTCGTTCGATATTATCTTCGTGAGCTGAAATAAATTATCTTTCTAACACCGTTTCAGATCAATATTCTTAAGAAGAATCTTAACTTGATCTCATATAGAATTGGTATATAAATAAAAAAAAAATGTGTTTTATATTCGTGAACTGCATTCCTTACCTCCTCAGTTGAGGTTTCCCGCACGAATTCTTGCAGCTGTGCTTGATCTTTTTGGGTAATCAAATTATTTAGTTTTTCACTCATCTCAACTAAACAACAGTGATATATACGTACATTTCTTTTTCCTTATATCTGCTTCTGTCGCTGTCAATAAACAACTGTTAATAATTTTCCCGCTCTTACGAATAAGTCAGAACAAGTGTGAACGATGTTGCACCTTTGTGTCCACAATGCTAGAAATCAGTCCGAGATTTCGGACAAAAAAAGAATGAACGAATCACATTTGAACAATTTGGTCACTTGACCAATGCGATTGGTCAATTTTTTCTTCATCTCAGATCTCGAACCGATTTCTAGCTAGATTTGTTCTTTTTTTTTACTTCGTGGATCTAACAGAAAATGCCAATCAGGTGAAAAAGATCATTGAGCTCAGTGAATGATTACGCATCTGGGTATCAATTAAACTTGGATATCAATGAAACTTTTTTCCTAGAAAAGTGAAAAGTGAAAAATTTCTCCATTAACTGCAATAGTTAAAATTTTCACTTTTCATTTTTCTAGGCCCAGCAAATGAGAATAGATTGAAATGAATTGAAATGGATTCAGATTTTCAGAAATATTGATTCCCAAATGTTAAACTGAATGCTTTTCAATTCTGAATGCATTTATAGAAATTGCATGGAGCATACCTCTATGTCTTCCTATCTAAAAATAATATTAGCTTTTTCTGCACACACACAATTGTGAATATTCATTTCAAAATTTTGAATAGGAAATGCAGTTTTTCAATTGCATCCAATTGAATCTAATTGAATCCCATTAAATCCAAAAAAAAGTGTTCGCTATTTAAAATACGCATTCGGATAGAAAAAAATTTTAATCTATTCTCGCTGGAGAGATAAAATTTTATGATTGATATTTTAGATGCACTCGGATATTATAATTTTGACGTAAATCGAGCCATGTAAACGTAGTTAAAATTAGGCCTGTTCTATTTGATTGAACTTTTGCACCAGTTTATCTTTTTTCGTTTTCTCTCTAAGAAAGAAGAGGAAGAAAAATGAACTAATGTAAAAGTTCAGGTTCAAAAACAGGCCTATTCAATAAAACTGTTTCCAAATAACATTAGTAATTGGGCAACGTTCAGATCACGTTTAAAGTACCAGTTCTCGTCTGATCACTGAAGTCAAGTAACGTTGAGCACGGTTAGTACTTGGATGGGTGACCGCTTAAGAACACCGTGTGATGTTGTCCCCAATTTTTTAATTTTTGCTCCAAACTAAAAGAAAATTCCCGAAAAAATCATATTAACGAAATACTATATATTAAGGATTAATTATTAATATAATAGTCTTATTTTAAATATCGACTATCAGCATATTTTTCTAATCGCGATATAATTTTTCATTTAATACCTGTATTATTTTATTAATAGATACAGTATAGATATATGTATAGATTATGCTTATATATATTGATCAAAAATATTAAGCATTTATATTCTTTTTCATTTATTTGGAATTCTTTTACGTACATTATTATTTATTGGTTATCAACATCATGCATATATAAAATATTTGTGACCAAGACTGTATACAAAAAGTTAATAATTTTATCCAATAATTTTATTCATATTATAATAATAAATAATTCTGTACATAATTATTTTTATATATATATACATATATGGACAAAAATATTAATTTTTTTTACAATATAGATAATTATTTTTATTATACTGAATGTGAATAAAATTATTATTTTGACAGAGTCAAGATTAACTTAGGGAGAACTGTGCTTAAAAATTTTGCTTTTAGATAATTCTACCGTTCGAATTAACTTAGAGTTTAATCGAAACTGTTTGGATGTTTGGAATATCTATCGACCACGACATCCATGCGTGTCTGTTGACATACGACGAACGGCTGGAGCGGCAAAGCGCACGTTAACTAACGTTAACCTCGCATGGAAGATGGCGGACGACGATGTGAACGGAGACTCGGACGATGTGCAGCAGGAAAAATCACAGAAGAAGGCGGCCAAGTATGACAGCGGTGCAGCGGATCTAGAAAAAGTGACTGATTATGCCGAGGAGAAAGAGATCTCGTCGTCTGATGGATTTTCCTGCGTAAGTACTCGCTTGTCCTGAGTAACCTAGAATTCAGCCCACACGCGTCACTCTCGTTGCTCGATTTCAAATGTTATTTCAAATTAAATTGAAAGTTAACTCGGTTTTCGCATTAAAAAGAATGTCTAACAGGCTCTCAGCATAATCGGCGACCGTCGCGACAAGGAAGCTGCGGAGAAAAAAGCGAAGGAGAAGGAGTTGCTCAAAGTGTCTATTAAGAAGGAGGATGTCGATTTGATCGTGAGTACTTTCCCCACGTGTTCAGTCCTTGGAAATTCGTACCAATCAAAAAACTTACGGTTGTCTTTTTTTCAGATGAAAGAGATGGAGATCAGTCGGATTTTGGCTGAACAGACTCTCAGGGAACATAGAGGCGATATTGTAGAAGCATTAATTACATTAACTAATTGAAATTGTACAAAAGAACTTGTTCGAGAGATCTGGTATCATATCTCTGAATTTTATTGTAAAATATGCTAAATTATGGAAGTTCCGAGACTTTTTCACTTATTTACTGACACTTGTTATAAAATATCCAAGTAATACTTATATATATTTTTGTTTTCTCATACTTGCCTACTTGCTAAATGAATGCGCAGTTCTATAAGTAAATGATAATAATGGTAATGTATTGTAATAATTATATATATATATTATATATATACATATATATATAAATATATGCATTTATATGTGTAATGAGAGTAATTCATTAAAAATAATATATCCATCTGACATATTATTATCAAAATTATAGCTGCTATCAATATGAAGAAATATCTTCTTGTCTGGTGCCTTCTTGTTGATTATCAATGTTATCAGACATTCATATTGATAAGATTATTATGGATATATAACAGGTTTTGAGATATAAGGAGTCAGAAGTACATTTGCATTGAATGTCAGTTTACCTTAATAACCTGCTCGTTATTACAAAACTATTTTCGCGTAAATCGTTATTACATCTTTATACTAATATAAATAATGTCAACTAAAAATGTGCAATTGATCTAATTATGTTAGTGAAAGTGAAATTTAGATGACGTGTGATTATTTTGTTTGTTTATAAATAGATATGACATCATGAACTTATTCTTGTTTGGATATTTATGCTTTTGTGTTACAATAAATTTGACTAAGAGCTCAGGTATGTGACATTATATTTGAATTATGTGTTCATGTAATCAATACAGTTTTTAATTTTTTTATATTTAAATATTTTCACATTTTAAAGTCATATTAATAAGCATAAAACACTACTGGTAACACTAATAAGCGTAAAACTTTTATTTATGGAATATACTTTTTATATTGTAAAAGATCTATTTTAACAGATATAGATACATATTCCGAGATTTCTGCAAGATATATATATAATATTAATAACTGTACGCAATGTGAAATCCAACAACACTCATCATGCATCTGCTTTGAATATATTGGTAATATCAAAATATTTTCAATTATTTTATACACACACACACACACATACACGCGCGCACACATACACACATACACACACACACACGCACGCACACGTACTTCATCGTTAAACGCTAAAAATATATTTTCGTTCAATGGCATATAACACTTTATATATAAAATACAAATTTTAAGGTGTCATTCAAAATAAAATAAATAATTGTATATACGTATATTACATATGCACATATTATGCATTTTTGCACATTGATTTCAACAAATGTTTAGCAAAATATGTATAAATGTTTTCGAAATAATTTCAGTTTAAATTCAGCAATTTTTCAGCATTTTTGTTGAAAAATTCACTTTCAGTGAAATTTCAGTAAATTTTTCAGTAAATTTACTTTGAAACCTCTTCATAGAGAAATGAATTATTTATATTTTTATCTATCTATAAAACATGCTTTTTATTTTATTTTTATTATTTTGTTTTATATTGTTAAGAAATAAAAAAATAGAAGAATTTATTTAACCATGAACTATTGAAATCTCAAATATCTCATTTCAAGTAAATGTTGTTGGTAAATAATAAATACTATTTGCTTTTTTTTACTTTATTACACTAAATACATTAAATAATATTTTTATAGTCGCATTCTTTAAAAAATGTTTCTATTTTTCTTTCTTTAAAATTTACAGACAACTGTGTAATTTGCTGTTCCAATGTTCCATGTTGTATCTGCGCAAACTGCGCTACGTGTTGGTAAGAAATCGAAAGAATTGGTTGCTTGTCTAGCAATAGCTAAATTATTTTAATATAATACCTTATTTTTCTCAGTAGATTAAGATCTAATTAACAATCAATATTTATTTCAGGCATGAGCAGCCACAATTAATAATAATGACACAGATTGGAATTGCAATGCTGTTTGGATTAGGCATCTTTGGCTTGGTCGCATTTTACTGTAAAATGTGCTACAAGTACGAAGACATCCAATACATTTATTTTTCTAATTTTCTCTATTATTCGCTATTCCAAACAAATACGAATATACCAAATTTAATAACATTTCATGACAAATACACTGTCACTTTCAAATCTTGTTTTTTTTTCTTAGGATCTTATTTTTGTAATTTTTAATAATTGAACGATTGTTGTTAGTGAATATAATTTTTTCTTTTCTAAATAATAAATGATATTATTCATTAACAATAAAATAGTAACATTCGTAAACTCAATATTAGCTGTTGCTAAATTTAGAATAACTTTATCACTATTTGTTTCTTATGGAATAAGAAAAATTCTTTATTGACAATCAATTTAATAATAATATTGTTAAGGATTACAGAATATAATCTTTAAATTTTACAAAGAGAAATTAAAGAGAGTAATTGCATTTTTACGCGTTCTTCCGACATTTATTTTATCCAAAATTAAAATTTTTTAATTAAAAACTAAATTGACAGATTTTTAAAAAGTTATTCTTTCAAGTAAATACTTTTTACTTATAAGTGTTCACAATTTTCATCGATT